TAAAAACCGACATAAGTTTCTTAAGTACTTTCCGCTACTTTCGTGAAGATTGTGATCAGTTTAACAAATAACGCTTAATCACGTTCGTAAGGCAAGTCTGACCGCTGATCAGCACGTAGATGGGGGCCAGCGCAGCGAGAAATGACCTGAGTTTACCACTTGCGTAAAACTTCTAACAAAGACATGTGAGTTGCATAGCAGAGGGCGTCATAGAATCCGATTATAATAAATCCCTCTCGTCTAACATTGGGACAAAATATTGCTAAAAAATGCCGTGCTGTTTTTCAGGTCGCTAGATGACCATGTATGGAAGCAATATGCATTCATTTAGACGATATCAAAATATACGTGTATTCCATGTGAGCTTATTGGCTAACCATTGCAGATTCCGGTATCAGTAGCAGCAGCTACCTCGATATTATGTTTAAAAGTCTTGAAAGAGTCATTACATCATTTTAGTACTAAAGATATGAGGCTGTGCCATTGACGAAGTCATCCTTCGTTCAGAGAAATGGTCTAACGAAGTACGAATTTGGCAACATTCCCATGCCTGAGTTCCCGTTTCTGACAATCAAAATGGCAAAAAGTGTCATTATCCTTTTCTGTTCGGTTCCTGATACGTTTTATCAAGCACCATATGTGGAATCGTTTGGTACATCTTCCACATATAGTTTCAGAAGCTGTCAGCACCAGGAAAGGGGTTTTACTCCTTCTTCAGTGATTGATATGGATTCTACCCAGCTCCCCGTTCTCCGCATTTTTCCGTCGAAATCTGTAAGATTGTTTTTATAAACATCCACTTAAAAGGCTTAAGTAGGCCTCTGTCAGCAAACTAGCTCTGCCTCTTTAATGAGCTGCTTCAGGGTTCAGGACATGAACACTCTGATACTTCACGCTCTGTTATCTTAATTCATGAGATTCCGTTCGTTGGTGATTATCTGTCTTCTGCGACGAGGTCACGGTGGATGCATTATACCAAGCATTAAGTTAGGTGTTTTCGATACTCTCTGCTCAGAAATTTTTGTCAAGCAGCTTACTTTGTACTTTGTGATTCCTTAATGTTTTATAAATTTTGCATTTATATTATTGTTGTGATTACTGTGTTCATCCGCATTTCCTTACTGTTGTGATATGATCGAACAGCTGCATACGACTTTGTTATTAAACACCTTTGATGTAAAGACTGAACTTGCATGTCTAACAGTCAAACCCTTAGCTTTGCTACAAACCCAGTCGTTAGAACACAGCTAAATGAGTAATCAATAATACGGTCACTTACAAAACTGGTCTTGTTTAGCAGTTTGTTTTGCTTCGGATTTCGTCAGACTGTACCTTCAAAACAGCGGCTGAAGAATGAGCACCCGTTTAAGACATTTGGGACAGTTCCTCACCAACGATATCATAGTCATTATCTTCGTACTATTCATATTTACTTTTTTAGGAGTGGTCACGTTGATTCCCGTTAGTTCGGCATTGTGCTATGTCAACGGCAAGCTGATCACCGAGCCGACTGCTTTAAAATCCAGCAACCGCGTGATACTAGGAAATTATCACGTGTTTCGTTTCAACCACCCTCAAGAGGTACGTGAGTCCCGCCAGAATCTTGCTGCCGTTTGCGAAGAGCCGGTCGACTGGTACTACGCTCAGCGTGAACTGCTTGAGAAACAGGGTATCGACCTGAAGGAAGAAATGGAAAAGAAGTAAAATTTATTCCTTGCAACTGTGAATTAAGACTAAAGTTATTGTCTAAAGGGCTAATGGTCTATTAACTGTGTAATCCGATTCAGGAGCACTGTCTTCGGTTTCGTCAGCATGGCGGCCCTCTTAGTTTCGCCCAAGTGCTTGAGCTGTTCCAAACACGAATGCTCGCATTTCAGATTCGCAAACGGAAACAGTTGAGTTCCTTTTGTATATTCTTTCTTACTCTGCCAGCCGTACTCACGGAAGCAAGAAATTCTAGCCAAACGTAGCACAGTCATTGTCAGTTCATTCTTTTCTTGCTTCAGTTCAATGAGTGTCATCCTGTTTTCAAATAATAAACTGCGTGATGTAATATGATGCCCACTTTGGCGAAAAATTCAGACGGTGACTCCACAGTCTTCCGCAAAGGTCGTATTCAAACATCATGTGTCAGGCAGATTTCTTTTAAAGGCACTAAGGTTGCAATGAGCTTTTATTTATTATTGACTCATCAGCCTACCGTTTCAATGTCCGGTAAAGGCCCTGTCGCTGCTGCGGCTGCGAGCACAAAGAATTCTTATGTTTTTCTGTACTTCGCCCACAGTGTCGTCCCATACTAACACTGTTGACCTGAACAAGAGCTGGGATTTTTGATGGGCGTTGATGTTTTTAACATTTTAAGCGATGACGCTTATGGCCATGATGATGAATGGCGATAATATTTTTCTAGAAAATTAAATTTTCTTCTTTTATGCTGGAGTTTAATTCTGCGGTCTTTTTGTTTCTTGCGTAATAGCTCCACATATACATCATCATCATCATCATCTTCCATCGCCGCTTCTCCTTTCGGGTCGCGGAGGCAGACGCCTCCGAGAGAGAGCTTCCAACGTTCCCGATCCTGTGCCAGAGTCTGAGCTACGGCAAAGGACAAATGGAATCTGGAACAGACTCCTTCCATATGTTTGCACCAGGTTAATCTTGGCCGTCCTCTGGGCCTTCTGCCGGTCGGATTTGCAAGGAACAGTTGCTTAGCGTTCCTTTCTGGAGGCATTCGCAACACATGCCCAAGCCATCGCAGCTGTGACTTCTCCATCTGAAGAAGCAAAGTCTGTATTCCAAGGCTCTTCCAGATGTCACTATTCCGGATCATGTCCAGACGCGTAAGGCCAGCGACTCGTCTAAGAAAGCCCCCACATATACATTCTGTTGCATTACCCACCGGCCTTTCTAACCATACTCGACATTTTACCAAGGTACAGTGATAGAAACATATCTGTAAATGTTAAACCATTTAAGTCAAATTTTGGTTTATAACGGTACGAGCAGTGATTAATGTTGACAGCGCTTTATTAACAGATGAAATTCAGATATTGCTCTCATCCATGTGATTGTTCCCATTCATACATCTGTTGTCCTTGATGCAAAGAGATTCTTTAATCTTTCTAAATTTAAGGTACCTCTAGTCACAGATTGCGCTGATGTGCTGCAAATCTATTTCATGATTTTTGATGATACTTGAACAAGAGCCAAGTTGTTTTTAACATTCTGCTTTGATGACTACGGAACGTTAATCTGCTTTCTTCTCGTCCTTGTTGTCCATAGCCTTTTTCTCTTAAATCAGCGTTGTTCCATCTCTTAAGGTTGCGCTTATGTTCCTTTCTTTTTTGCTTCATGAAATTGCCCTTTCCTTTGATGTAGACTTCGCCACATTTGCTGAATATATAGTAAACCCATTCTCGTTGGTCGTCCTGCGGCAGGTTTGTTTTGAATTTGCGAATTTTCTCTGAATGGTGAGTTCAGATTTGAATGCAATTTTTAGGTCGAGAGATAGGGTAATGCTTCGTAAGTTTTCACCCAGTTTTTCATGTATGGCAAACATTATCTTACCGATAAATTCGTCTCGTTGATCTTTTTTTCGTTTGTCAACCTGGTTCATTTGCTGACGAAACCTTTTTCTACGCGGTGTTTGAAGTACTCCACAGTTTCATTAATTCTTTTTTAATGTAACTCTTTTTTCCTTACTGCCATGTTCATCAGAACAATTCAGTCTTTGACATCTGCTGATAGGAGTTTTGGCGATGAGGCGGATGATTTGAAGCACATCACTGGATGTTCCTGGTGTGCATTGGTTTATGTAGACCTGTGTTTTTAGCGCGATCTTTATCCGCGTAACCAAGGCATCCAAAAAGGGTGAAATGCCGTTTTGTTCCGTTTCGATTGTGAATTTGATGTCATCTGTAAAGAGACTGTTCAGATTGTCTAAAAGCAGGATTCTGTGCCGCTTTTTCAAATGGCAAATATATCATTCATATATCGTTTACAGAACACTGCTAAATGTTGCAAGTTGATGGCAACTGTTTCTAAATGTTCGATGAAAACTTCGGTACGGTTGGCGATATGACGTCACCCTATGGAGCTTTGTTGTTGTGTCCCGTTATAACCGGAAACAATTGCAGTTCTCCAGGCAGATCTTGAGAATATCCTGAGAATCTGTTCTCTGCCGCCCATCCACTCCTGTCCTTTGCCATCAATGACTGCGACGACCGAATCGTCCAACAAACTAAAATACCCCTAATGAAAATTTCATCCTCTGTTGAAATGGTTCACATCGTAAAGAAAGGGTTTCATCGTGCTTTATTTCCAAATAATTTTTATGCGCACCATTGCTTCGGGTTGGATCTGTTGTAAGAACATCTTCCTGTGAAATAAATCTGATATCATTTCGCTGTGAGGAACTTCATTCCAGCGTCCAGTGTCATAGTCAACAGACTGTCACAGGGTTATATAATTGCGTAACGGCTGAGCTGAATTGGACATTTCCATGAGGGCAAATAGACTAAAGATTTACTACTTCACAGCGAGACCCTTGTATTGCATTGATTCGGTTTTTTTTCTAAGGATTCTTTCAATATCTATAGGATCTGTTCTTTCCGTTTGGCATTTTGACCATTATTTCACGGGCCCGTGGGTTGTGCCCGTGTGAACTTTTATTTTGTGAAACATTGCGTTGATATTTCGTTCTGCAAGTGAGGAAGATATGCTGAACGCACATCGCTATAGAATGCGTTTTTGTATTTTTATTTTTGCTCACTGTCCAAATGTGTACGGACAGGTTAGATTCTTCGAACAGAACAAAAACTTTTAATATTCATGGTCTTTACTACGCATGGCACTGCATGTCGTAATTTGAGAAATCTAGGTTTGCATGCAATATTAACAACTCAAATTATTGCTGTTTGTTCTTGCCATTTGGAGACAATACACTTAGAGCTGTGCTTGCCCTTTACTACCCATATCCGAGATACAAGAGATGATTCCTCAGAATAGTTTGAGCATCAGCTGCTTATACAAAAGTCCATGCGCCTTGCCTCGGGCATATGTACTTCTAGCAGATTTCGTCAGCTTTTATACTCGTCTCATTTTCTTCTACGCCCCGTGGTCGGTTACCATGGGTGCGAAGTTGTTATCGCTGTTTTTTTGAGCTGTTCTAACGAATCACGAGAAATTATTCCTTTTGTTCCTCAAAAACTTTTCAGTTCAGCAGATGGGTCTGTGTGCAATCGTTCGTAGTTCGATGCTAGCATCTAGTTGTTGCACAGCCTGCGTTTCTGAATGCAGTGCGACTTGTTTTTCTAGTGTGTCAGGACTGCAGCTATTTAGAGCTTGTAAAAGCAATTTATCTCATCGTAGTAACCTTCGTTTCATCGTTATTCATTCCGTTTTCTATGCACGCTGCAGTTTTATAAGGTTCGCTGCCTCGAGTCCTTGTCGATGACTACAGCTGAGTACTTGAAACAGTCGACCTCTTGCACCGTCGTGCCATTTCATTTTTTATCTCAACGGTGTTTGCCAATGCTGTTACCCTCATCTTCATCACGTTCGCTTTTGTTTCTGTTGACAACGTAAATTGCTAAACCAAATTCAACATAAAAGCAATACACTTATTTTTTTCCGTTACTTTTTCAGACTTGAGGAAATGGAAGAACAGTACAAGAAGGAAAAAGAAGAATTTACCATAGCTTTCGAAAAGCAGAAGAAGGTATGTTATGTATCAGTTTGTTGAACGGCGTTTAGGACAACACACATGACTGTTGCAGGAATATGAAAACCGTATCAACATCCTACAGAAGCAGGTGGACCTGGCACAAAGCCTGATCAGCTCGACATGCTCTAATTTTACCTGGGACAGTGAGCAAGTGCTGGGTATGACTCAGAGTACGTCACTACGTCGGTCATTCAAAATATCAACGATTTATTGATGCTTACTCTTAAAGGTGATACAACGTGGTCTGAGAAAGAACAGAATCTTGTCAAGTGGGCGTTCACCAAATGGCGCTACCACCAGTTCACTTCTTTGAGGGTAAATATTTGTCGACCACTGACAAAATTATTTCCTTCGTATAATTTTACTGTTGCATTGCATTCATTCAGGATGATCTTTGGGGCAATGCAAAGTTTCTCAAGGAAGCAAATTCCATGAGTGTAGAGCTGAAGAAACTGGTAAGCTGTCAACCAAATGTATCTGCTGTTTTTGATATTGGTCACCTTTGAGTTAACAAATAAAAAATAATTCCTCTACCCCTCCCCTATTATGCCATGTCAAATTATGAGAAACAATATTTAAGTTGCAAATAAGGAAGTTATACTTTATTTTCATAATTTCTTGAAACTTTAAATGTTAAAGTTGGCGTTTTATTGCTTGAATATTATCTCACGCGGATAATACTTTTCAACGTGATAAAAAAGCAGAAAGTTAACAAAATAGAAACAGCTTACATCATGGCACAATCATCGCAGCACTGGAAAACAAACATATGGTACAATGAGAATAGTAGAGTAATGCTGTTTGGCTATATTGCAGTGTCTGACAACGCGTGCCAAAGCTGCTGGAATGAATGACCTTATAGGAGCTCAGCCCGAGAGGCAACATTTACAAATCTAGATCTGGTGAATGCACAGTTTGACAGCACTTACGAAGGCTGTAGTGAAGAGGAATGGAGTGAAAGTTGGTGATGCACATTGTATGTTTTTTATAATTCAGATATTTTAAGTTTTTATCTCCAAGATCTATAAGCGTTTATATGCATACGAATTTTATTTTACGCAATCCAAACATCTCGTATCACTGCTTATCCGTTTTCAAGGGGCGTTATACAGCAACGATATGCGTTTTTTGGAATATCATTTCGATCCACTGTTCGATGAAGGCCTCTTTAGTACTTTTCCATAGGATTCTATTTTCTGTATTTTCATCTATCTTGATCCGAGATACTACTTCTTCAACTGATTCTACCACCAGCTGGAAGTCATCATGCCGCCCATTATTCTTTCATGTAACTCATTCTAGTGTCTCTCTGGTCTTAGTTTATATGCATCTTTTTCGCGAATGTACGTGTGGTCAACTGCATAAAGTTTTGCGATGGAAAACTTTGGACCGCATAAAAAAATTCATAAAACTTTTCTACAAAATTTAATTTTTTAAAATTTGAGTATGTGCATTG